ATTTTAAAAACTAGTAATAAATGTAATAGTTTTCATATATCTGACCAATTATTTCGGATAATTATTAAAATAAATATTATTTCAAAAATGTTATGAAATTGTTTGGCATTTCTTTCAATCATTATTTTATAAGAACCTAACGACTAATCCCAACCGATTAAACGCAACAACAATTACTTCATATTCAATAAGAAATTATTGTATTGTAATTATAGATTACCGGCCAAAAAGTTAAACCAAAATCCATAACTTAAACCAACTTTAAAGATCGATCGGTCGAAGAAAGTAATTTTAAAGCGATATTAAAATAATTAAGCAGTTATTAGTAATAATTTGCAGTAATAAGAATAAATTATAGTAAAAAATATCCATTTATTGGCTTTATTTGTATAAATTAATGGAAACCATAAAACATTTATTTAGATATTTTGAATGAATAGAAAAACAAATGATTAAAATATAAATAAATAATTAGTTATAAAACAATTTTATCTCAACAAACGATTCTTATAAAGATTGGCCAAAGCGTTGGCGGACTGTTGTATGATATCCTTACGGCTGATTCCAACCCACGATTGATGCCATTCTTCGGGAGAAACGTTCAGTTTTTGTGCCATAACTGCGCCGACAGTAACGCTATAACCGGTGCTCTTTAACGGGTAATCAATTGGTGTTTCGAATTGCATTTGATTAACGCATTCGTTGGGTATTGGAGTCATTTGGGTGTAGACCTCGATGTTTATGCCCATCACCGGGTCGTCCAATACAAGACATCCGACGTCATACCATCTGAAGAGTTTGCATACCATTAATATAACACTTGTGCTGAGTTTAACATAACGATTAAGGTATTACTTATCGCCATTGATGTCGACAATGAAGTTCTCAATGGAAACAATCACTTGATTCCGAGGGATAGAACTCGTGTCCATTCGTAGCGTTTGGATGCGCTCTTTGGCTGCTCTGAAGCCGTTGTCAAAACCGATGGGTTGGGAAGCGATGCTCAGGGATTGCGCGGAATGGCCGGAGACCGTCGCCCGA